ATGTGCTCATCGCGCTGGCCTTCCTGAGCAGCAGCGTGAACCCCGTGCTGTACGCGTGCGCCGGAGGCGGCCTGCTGCGCTTGGCCGGCGTGGGCTTCATCGCCAAGCTGTTCGAAGGCACCGGCTCCGAGATGTCCAGTACCCGACGCGGGGGCACCCTGGGCCAGACGGCGAGGGGCGCCCCCGGCCCCAATGAGCCTGGCCCGGCCGAGAGCCTCACTGCCTCCACCAACCCTCTCGAGTGAAGCAGGCCCCGGGGAGGGGTGGTGGTGGAAGGACACTTGCTTTCCTCCTGGCGGAATGCCCCACGCTGGCCTGACCCAATTCTGCACCTCCAGGAGAAGGCGTGTCGGGGTGGAGCGGAAGGAGAGGGTGGGGAGGGGCAAGTAGGGGCAGAGTCAGCGCCTGGGCAGCTTTGCAATTAAAACCGAAGTCTGAAATTGGGTTAACCCTGTGTGTGGGACATGTGTATTATGGGGGATAGGTGTCTTTCTGGGGGTCGGTCTCGATAGTGGAGAGGCACATCCTTTAGTTTCCCATGATTTTCAATTTTGAAAGGGACACGAAGACAGACATTACCCCCCTCCACCACCACTTCCTCCATTGGGACACAGGTGGCTTGCAGATCACACTTAGAACAACACAGGTTTGCAGGCTCCTGAAAGAGCTGACCAGGGAAGACCACCCATGTGGACTCACCACTCCAGACTTCAATTCAGCCTACTTTCTGAGAAAATTCAGCACTGCCTGTACTCTGAAGCTAGTGATAGTTATCTTTGTTAGCATGACTCCAACTTCCTGCTTACTAACCTTCATCCTCTCAGTGGTAGGTATTCAAGGGGATTGCCTTCCTTCCCTCCAAGTCCCAAGAAGGCCTCACTTGAGAAACCAAGTCAGCAGATCTTATCTCCTAGATTTCACATCAGCATTTCACTGGTCCCCAAAACACACTCTGGCACAGGATGGGGCTGAGGGTACTCTGTGACTGTGGTCACCCTTAGGAAATGAAGATGCCCCAAAATGAAAGGGATGAGTCATTCTTTTCTAGGGATAAATGTTGTCTTAGAGCCCCTATTCTGATAACATTTTAGGAAGATGGTAGCAGCAGTGGTAGTGGTGTGCTTTTTTAATCTTTCCCATCCCCCCCCCCCCTCCACCCACACACACACAAAAGAAAGAGCAATTAGGAAAAATATAAAAAAATCCATGTGCAACATCTGCAACAAAGCCTCATGGACCCCAAAATATGAGCAGTTGGGAATGAAGCATTGATGCTTCAAGACCCACATAATATCAGCAGAAAGGAGCAAGGGGGCATCTAAGGGGCCTGAGAACAGGAGAACCCCAAACTATCTACAAATCCTCACTGGAAAGCATCATGGGTCAATTTTAGAACAGCAGCTGACATTGGGAGAGACCTAATAAATTATTTCCAAGTCCTCTTACCCATCATAAAAAGTGTCTGTTTAGTGTTGAATAAAGGTCAAATGACATTTTCCCTGGAGATTCCTTCCAATATTTGTGGGTGGAGAGCAGGAAAAGCAAATCCTTGTGTTGAGTGATGTGGCTAAAATTCTTCATACTTCCAGGGTTTACAAAATACTGGAATCAGGTTGGCAGGCAGGCAGGGAGGCTGAGGCAGTTCTCTTCCCGAACTTGTGAAAAGAAACACACCCTCCATACACTCATGCTCATGCTTGCACACACACAAACGCTCACTTCGGCCTGGGAAAAAGCAGTCCTGCTGAGAAGTAAGGAGGTGATCCCAGAAGACATATCAGCAGCTTCTGGCATAAATTGGCTCCAGTCATACCAGTCTCTTTATCGAGGATTTTTGAGGTGAAGAGTAGGGAGTGGGGTCTCAGCCTAGGGCAGCTGAGGGAGGTCCAACTCTTATCAAATCTGTGTTGAGGAAGTAGGTACACAGCTGCCCTTTGCCTTTGACCTTGATAACGCCCCTGCTGTAGCAGGTGTAGCCTAAGGACTGCAGGGCCCGGGCTGTCTCCTCAGTCACCTGCAATTGGAGGAAGGTGAGGGAGTATGGAGGTGGCCCCAACCTTAACCACTGCCCCCAGGACTCCAATGTGGCTTCCTCACTTGTATCTTGCCCAGGACTCCTGTACTCTCCATGCGACTGGCCACATTCACCGTATTGCCCCAGATGTCATATTGTGGTTTCTGGGCTCCTATCACTCCGGCCACTACTGGTCCATGGTTTAGCCCTGACAAGAGATAAAGATGGGAGAGATATGGGGAGGGATAAGGGAGGGAGTAGGAGCACCTCATAGCTCCTGGCCCAGCAGCTTCATGCTCCATCTCAAAAGGTGAGTCTGGAGGGAGGTCCAGGGCTGACCTGGAAAGCAGCTTACCAAAAATTTGGGGGAGGGAGAGCTTGGGAAGATGTGGAGGAGGTCCCAGACTGACCCAGCAAGGGAAGGCCCTTACCCACACGCAAGCGGAAGTTGTTGAATGAGTGCTTGTTGATAACGTCCAGCTTAGACCCAAGGGCCACTGCAAATTCCACCATGGTGCCGAGGTGGCTGCAGCTTCGCTCAGCATCCTGGCAATGGGATGGCCACCAGAATGAGCCAATGAGAGCCCAGGATTAAGGCCCATTCACAGACCCACCGATAAGAGCACAGGTGAGGGATGGTAGGTAAGGAAGGAATGCTGTACCTGCTGTGCATCCTGTCCAGAGGTGGCATTTAAGCCAGTAGCTGCCATGTAGGTGCTGCCGATGGTTTTGATCTTCTCCACCCCACTGAACTTGGGCTTAGAGAGCAGCTGTATAGAGAGGAGGCTGTGTCCCCATTCTCTCTTGCTTTCCCACTCCTCTCTCCCCAAAGCCCAGCCCCAGGCTAAAGGACCGGTTATGGCAGCGGTGTGATGTTTACTTTGAATTTATATTAGTTCACACAAACACTCCATCCATGCTTTTGTTCCGGCCCTCCGGTCCAGTTTAAGAACCCATTGTGGCCCTCGAGTCAAAAAGTTTGCCCACCCCTCGGTTATGGGATTAGGAATGGTGGCAGGAGCAGAGTGAACAGAGTTGCTGGAGAAGGCAGAGCTGAGGCATCAGAGGAGGAGTGGGAAGGCTAGAGAGGGCAGAAGGGGCTTATGGCCAGAAGAGCAAAGTAGAAGGATGGACTGGTAGGACATTCTAGAACTCTGGACATGGGATCTGGGGAACCCTCAGAGTTGTCACCTCATCAAAATCAGCAATGATCTCATTGAGCAGGCGCAGACACTCTAGCCCCTCGTGGTTGATGTTGGATTCAGAGTAAAACTCCTTGAAGTCTGGGACTGAGGCGAAGAGGACACAGACACACTCATAGGACTGGTGGTAGAGGTCCTGGGAGGGTGAGAGGCTGGGGTGAGGCTGTAGGCCACATTCTTCTCCTTCCTGTCCTGGTGTCCCCATGCCTTCCCCTCTGTGTAAGAAGGATTGGGGAGGAGGGGAAGGAGGAAAGCCAGGTTATCCTAGGGAAGTCACTTCTAGAACTGGGATCATGCCAATGGGAATTATCTTTATATCCTTTCTATTGCTGAAAGTTGTTAAGTAAGTTAAATCAGCTTATAAAGATCTACAATTTGCAAAATCACATAAATAAATAATAGGGAGAATGAGGTCAAGAGAAAATAAGGGTAAGATTGTAAAGATGGAGTCAGATCTGAGGTTGGTTCACTATATGGGTGCCATTTTAGTTCTATATTCTGGCTTTTGAGCTTTCTAGAGCCAATATGAACACAGAAACAGGATCAGTTACAAGATACCCAGATCCTATAACAGAAGAAACCAGAAGTAGAGCTACTTCTGATCTTGAGAGCAGAGAGCAGGTGGTGGGGACATACGGCTGTGAAATAGTCCCTGAACTGTTTCTTTCAACACCCCTTGATACAGCCAGGAGCATTTCCGTAGCACAGGATGGGGTGGTGGTGCTACAAAGAAGCTGGTACAAATATGTGGGTAACCTTCTGATGGTCTGACTGTAGAAAGATATTTGAGGATCTAGAGCAGCGTCATCCAATAGAAATTTCTGTGGTGATGGAAATGTTCTGTGTATGTGTTGTCCAATATGGTGGCCACTAGCCACATGCAGCTGTTGAATACATGAAATAAGACCAGTGTGACTGAGGAACTGAATTTTCTCCCTCTCTTTCTCTTTCTCTCTTTTTTAAGATACAGGTTTACTTACAAGACCTGAAAATTATACAGCATGCCTGAAGCCACACAGCGAGGTCATGGGGGGGCGGGGGGAGAGTGAGAGAGAGAGAGAGAGAGAGAGAGAGAGAGAGGCAGTGCCCATGGACCTGGGCCTGGGATTCTGCTTTGAATTGGGGTTAAGAGTGGGAGCCTGAGGTTTCTCAGGCCCACTTTTTAAAAAATTTGTCAATTATAGTTGACATTCAATATTATTTTATACTAGAGGCCTGGTGCATGGATTCGATCCCTCCCAACTGCCAAACATTAGTTTGTTCTCTACCAGTATATCTATGAGTCTATTTCTGTTTTGCCATTTATTTTGTTCTTTAGATTCTACACATAAGTGAAATCATATGGTATTTGTCTTCCTCTATCTAACTTATTTCACATAGCATAATATCCTCTAGGTCCGTCCCATGTTGTTGCATTAATTTTCCATTTAGTTAACTTAAATTTAAATGGTCACACATGGCTAATGGCTACCATACTGGATAGTGCAGGTCTAGAGAGAGATGGGTGGACTGTGTCCTCCACACAACTCTCATCAACACTTGACAAAGCCTCTGA